CAGCAAAGGCGAGGGTAAGGTGCTGCACCGAGGGAGGAAGACCCCCCCCCCCCACAAGCAGCAGGACAGGCTTGAGGGAGGGAGGGAGGGAGAGTGGGGGGCTGACCTGCTGGAAAGCAGCTCTGCAGAGAAGGAGCTGGGAGTGCTGGAGGACAACAAGTGAAGCATGAGGCAGCAATGTGGCCTTGTGGGGTGTGGCATCCTGGGGTGCCTGAGGAAGAGTGTTGCCAGCAGGTGGAGGGCAGTGCTTCTCCCCGTCTCCTCAGCCCTGGTGTGGCCACATGTGGAGTAGTGGCTCCCAATCTTGGGGCCCCCGTACCAGGGGACATGACACTACTGGAGCGAGTTCAGTGGAGGGCTACAAAGAGGATGGGGGGAGGGGGGGACTGGAGCATCTCTCCTCTGCAGAAAGGCTGCGAGAGCTGGGCCTGATGAGCCTGGAGAAGAGACGACTGAGCGGCGATCTCATCAACGTGTCCAAGTATCTGGAGGGAGGCTGTCGCGAGGATGGGGGGCCAGGCTCGTCTCCGTGGTGGCCAGTGACAGGACAAGAGGCAACGGGCAGAAACTGGAAGCCAGGAAGTTCCATCTGGACCTGAGGACAAACTTCTTTCCGGAGAGGGTGACTGAGCACTGGACCAGGTTGCCCAGAGAGGTAGTGGAGTCTCCTTCGCTGGAGCTATTCAAAACCCACCTGGAGGCGATCCTGGGAAATAGCCTGTAGAGGACCCTGCTTGAGCAGGGGGATTGGACTAGATGAGCTGCAGAGGGCCCTTCCAACCTCAACCATTCTGTGATTCCGTGATTCTGGAGGCACAGTCTCTCCTTCTGGCAGACAGCACAGGAATGTTCAGTGGTAGGCAATCCATATTGCAAAGGAAAGTGATCCAAGCAGTTTTACTTCCCCCGTGCTGGCTCTGGCACAGACTGGATGAAATGCACGCAGAGAGCCCCTTTTCGCATTGGAACTCTTAGAAAAGAGCTATGCATTTTAAAAGCCTCATTAGCACTGTGAGAGCACAGTAGAATTACCTGAAGTGAACACGTAAGACCAGGAAGTTTGCCCTTACAGCTCCAGTCCTGAGCATCAACTAAGATCTTTCAGTTTGACTCCATGCTGGACCACCCTGTACCGCTTTACAGATGAAACCCAAATCCCAATCTGTTTCTTGGAAAACATGAAAGAATTACACGAACAAATTCTCTGAGGAGGGAAGACAGTGTCCCATCACAAAAAGCCAGTCCCTCTGTTGGTGCCGTATTCTCCTCTGCTACTCACCTTTCTCTGGGTGCTAGCCTCTGAGTGCTGCCATCTCTTTGCAACTTCTAGGACCTTTTCCTTCCTCATGTTCTTTTTTTGCAATTCAGCAGCAGCCCCTGCCAGAAGTTTTTTCTTCTCTTCCTCTAGTTGTTTTGAGTTCAGACTCATGGGGCAAACCTTAGCTTCGCTTTTCTGATTGAGATCATTCAAGATCCGCCAACACCCAAACAGAACATGCTGGTGACTTGATGTCAGCCTTCCCAGGGCACAGCCAACATCAATAATGCAATGGTATAAAAGCAGCTTGTGGCTCTCTTTTAATTGGGGTAATAACAAGAGAAGGCATGCCACAGCAGGATCTAGACTGTACATAGACAGCAGCAAGTTCACTATTCTGTAGTTTACAGTGAGATAGCAATGCAAAGGTATCCCAGGTCCTAATGTGTAATAACAGAGCACAGAATGGTGAGGAGTAGCAAAAGGTCCTCCCTGGGGAAGGATCACCTTACAGAACTAGAGAGGAGCAATCCAAACAATATAACCTTGAAAGGAAGGAAACACCTCCCAGGCAGAGATAGCAAGAACCACTCTGGAGCTCAGTGGCTGCTCTTGGTTCATTTGGGAGCCCTAAGGTGAGGAGAAGGACCAACAGGACACCTACTCCTTCTATAAGCTAGATAGGGAAGTACATGCTCCCTTCCTACTATCACACCCACCCACCAGATGATAAAAATAGATCTTTGGAAGCCAAAACAGTAACAGTCCTTCAGTGGCAAAGCCCTCAGCCAGCTCAGTTAGCAGGACACCCATCTGCTGGGCTAGGCTTCTAGTATCAGGGGATTGGTGTACCTAAGAAACAAGGAAGAGGGCATGGGAAGAAGGCAATGAGAGGAAAGGGGGAAAATTAACTCAAAGCAAAATATGGGTAACCAAGACTGGCTTAATGGAGGCTAACATATAAAGATGCATCTACTGATCTTGGAAGTCTTGGCTTCCGAGTATTTAGTATGAGACTTTCAGGATTCAATTCTCAGAGGTGTTGAATGCCAACTCCTCCAACTGCAGTTGCACAGGTAGGTGAAAGAGATACTGAAAGTGGAGGATTGGGTGCTGCTGAGTCCCAACGACAGCTCTGTCACTGCCTCCAATGTGAATAAATCGTCATTTTCAGCAGTGCCAGCCAGCAGTTCCCACTAACGTTTCCGGGAACAGCTGGGTGTGCAGCACTGCGGGAAAAGGAGAATGAGGTAAGAATTTCTCAGGGGGAAGGTCATTCACCATAGCCTCGAAGGCACAGACCCAACTCCTTCTTTTGCAATCTCAGGCTGCCCACTTAAGCTCTCTGCACTTCCTTTACTGGAATAATTAACAGGATTCTGCCCAAAGATGTGAAAACCGCGCCTTGGCCCCAGCACACTGAGCAGTCCAACCACGCAGCGCATGCAGCTCCAGTGCTTTCCGGCATAGCTTGCTGTACCAGTCACACACCTCTCTGCAGCCTGACTTTACGTCTGGCCTCACCCACCGGTGGCGCAAGGCCCGGCGGGAGTTGTAGTCCCTCGGCCGGTAGACCCCGCTTCCAGGCGCCGCGCGCTCTTCCATGAGCGAACTACACCGCCCAGCGCACCGCGCCAACGCCCCACTATCCGCGCCATGCCTGCTGGGAGCGCCCAGTGCGCGCCGAGGCACGGACGG